CGATGTATCGGTTGAGTCTGGGTATCCCACAGTCATTTGTTTCCTTCACGAAAAGAAAGATTTTAGCTTAAAATGTATGGGAGCAGTTTCAGAGTATTTAATCCATCTTCTGAGTGTTTGGGCAGTTAATGCTATTAACATTTGCTAGACTCAGGGCGCCAGGTCATTGTTCTGATAGTTTGGACAGTCAGACACAGTCAGATCAGGAAAGGTATGAGAAGAACTTCCCCTTTCCATTCAGCCGGAAATGGCACAGTGGGTAGATTTTTGTGTTTTTTCCTTCTTGTGAAGGTTTGACAATGTCTGTCTGGACCACAGAATCCTGAAAATAAACACAACACTTTCTTGCAAGAGCAATAGCAGAAAACAGTACTAGGTTGGGTTTAGAGAGTTAGGATATCTGGCCTGAGAGTCGTTTGGTCAAGATGCAGCCTGAGATCTTGGCCATGATCAGGTTGAGTTTGAGACTCAGTACACTGTCACCAGGGTGTACCATTAGCAGGCCTGTGGGGCATACATCTGGGCCAACTCATTGCAGGCTACTTCTCTGAGACATTAACTCAGAACTCAAGTTTGGTTTTCCGCTTCCTGGCTGGTGACGTGGGGAGGCCTGGAATCCGAACCCTAGTTGGCAGCCTGCCTGAGCCGAGGAGGGTTTTCTGTTTGAGAATGGGTGCTGTAATCCTGAAGTCTAGAGACTCTGAGGGATGATGGTCTCTGAGAATGGGTGCTGTAATCCTGAAGTCTAGAGACTCTGAGGGATGATGGTCTCCTGTCCTTTGAAGTTGTAGGACAATCCCATCTGGACAGCAGCATTGAAGATCAAGAGATTGTCACTAATCCGCCAGACATTTGCCAAGTTGTGGAAGTGACCACCGAGAGTGATGACCAGCCAGTCAGCATGAGCGAGCTCTACCCTCTACAGATTTCTCCTGTGTCTTCCTACGCAGGTAAGGGGAACAGGAGGGTGACATGGAGCCTGAATAGGAAACAGACCGCCAAGTCTAGCATCATCCACTTCACCCCACCACAAGAAATTTCTGTACTAGAAATTATTATTGTGAAATTATTCCTACTCTTACGTTCTGGACAGCGTCTTGGACACCTCTGTTGGAAGAGGTATTTATGGTATTCCTTTTCTTAACGGCCCATGATATGGTTCATTGAGGACTACAAATAACATGTCCTGGGAGAAATGCTTCATTGTCATCGTGAACATACAACAAATGATACAGTGACTGAGACCTGGCCAAGACCCAAAAAGGTCTGGCACATAGGAGTTCAATTCCCTTGTAATGTACTTGCCTAAGTTAATAGACTTTGGCATCAGGGTGGTTTGATGGCATCTAGATTTTATTAAGATAGATAGGGCTTTAGAAATCATCTTTTCTCGAGTCTCTGTTTATGGAAATGAAAGAATTTTCTCAAGGTTCCCTGGCCAATAAGTGTCCTGGCCAGGAGTTGAACTCAGCCTTCAGCTTCAAGGTCATTGCTAGATCTAATCCATTTCACTAGCTTTACTTGCCCCTTCCATATATTTCCTCCCTCCCTCCCTCCCTCCCTCCCTCCCTCCCTTCCCCCCTCCCTCCTTCCATCCCCCCTTCCTTCCTTGTTATATAGTGCTCCTTGTAGCTGAACTGGGCAACTGAGGCCGTTTCTACTCCTGGGGACTGATCCCATCATTGCAGAAATTAGTCAGGCAGAGTTACAGGATTAGACACAGACTGAGAAAGTGACAGCTCCTTCTGTCACCAGAATTACATCATTTTACTCTGCTTTCCTGATCATCTCCATTTGAGCTTTTGGAACTCAATCACAACTAGGAAACCTTAATTCTGAGTCAGTGTTCTTGCTTGCAACTATTAAACAAAAACAAAAACAAAAAACCAGAGGTCCCAGCATGGGAAAGGCCAGTCAGCTCTAGCAAAGGGATCACCCCCCACCCACTCCCCACCCCCCACCCCGCCAGGTCTGTTTGCATGCTTTGGAGGCCACACAGGGACAGCCCAGACTTGTGTGGCAGAGTTCATCCCAACATCAGTTGTTTGTAAATTATCAGCAGATCAATTAACCTCATATTCCCCAACTGCCAGCTTTCTTTTTTGAATTTATTTTTTAGTGGTGGTAAAATACATATCTCACGAACATGCCATTTGCTAAGTGTCCAGTTGAGTGGCTTTGAGTGTGTTCGTGGTGTTACAACCTTCCTCCAGAAATCTTCCATCTTCTAAAATGATGCACCTGTTAAATATGAACTCCTCTACCTGAATCTGGAGAACCAACAGTCTATTTTCTGTCTACGCAGTGTGCTCTTGTGAGCGGAATCTTGCAGTCTCTACCCTTTTGGGAGTGGCTTATTTTGCTTAGCGTACATCATAACTGGCTTTTGTGTTAGGGGCATGAAAAGAGTGTGAGAAAGAAGGCTGGTGACAGGAATCCTATAATCGGCCAAACAACTGGCCATCAGTCATTGATTCATCAGACAAAGTGTGAGCTCTTACATGTGTCCATCTTTTTTTGTCTTTGCCAGGGCCCAATAGCTCTATTATTTGTTGAGTGTTTATTGTTCTCTGGGGATTATGCTAAATGCTTATAAGGGTTTGTATTGATTGACTTGCTTAATTATCAAGGGACTAAATGTTATTCTCCCCTCTTCCAAAATGAGGACTCTGAGGCTAATGTAAGTCTAGGAATGTGAAACAGATGTATCCATGTGTAGATGTTCTTAGACACTCACCAGGGTGCTACACGGGGTCACATAGCCTCATTTGGTTGTCAAAGGACCGACCAGAGGAGGTAGACCAAAATCTTTATGCAGAAACAATGGTAGCATTAAGCACTACAGTATTTTATTTTGCTTATATTTGCAAAGCTCAGGCTAAAGTCTTGGCTTTCTTCTAAGTCACCCAGCTGCTGTAGTTGTTCATCAGGGTGTCAGGCGTGAGGGGTGGAGCCTTAAAGCAGACAGGTCTACCTGTTTGAGGTTTCCTTGGGGATTTTGGAAAGACCGTCTTGCTGTTCTTCAGCAGTGGTATTTTGCCTTAGCAGAGGCATCCTGAGAACAGCTGATATGTGGAGAAAAATGAAAATTTCCTTCCCCGTTCTGGGACACTTGCATAGATTTCAAAGGAAGGGTCTTAGCTCCGGGGCAGCACAGCTACAGCATGGATTTCATGAGAGCCCAGCTTTTCAACCTGATATTTGGTTCGATAGACCCCTTCTCGAGGGGGCGCCCCAAGAACCCAGACTCCGATCCAGTTGATGCAACAGCAAGAGGTGTTTATTAATGTGGCTGTACAGTCGGTCTCCTCTGCTCCAAAGAGCAAGAGTCGCTCCTATTGCAACCACATGGGTACTTTTAAAGGAAAACCCCACAAAAGCCATAAGATTACGATTCCCATACAATTTCATGGCCTGATCACAGGGTGATCACAGAGTGGGTACAGTCACGTCTGCATGCACATTCTTCCTGAAATCTCAAGGGGGGGGGGTTATCAGGGCGGGAGTGGAGTTTACACAAAGGTCACAGTGGTCCTTCCTGGAACACTTGCAACTATCCCAGTCACAGTTGAGCGCATCTCTTAATAGAAATCTCTTTACATTGTTACATTGTGGCAGGGGTGATTGAGTAATGATTGAGTCAGGTTGCCCTTGGAACTAGTTTTCTTTTTAGTTCCTTATTCTCCTGGGGCTTGGGGGGTGTAAGCCTGAAGGGTTAGGGTCTTTCAGGTTCATTCCATTGTTTTCATTGTCGGAATTCTCTAGAATCTTATAGAGGGAAGCTTATTGGATAGAGCCAAAATGTTTTGCTGCTGGTCCTTTCTAGACTTGAAGACATGTTACAAAGTTCTCCATTACTGACCATGGCTAGATCAAGTCTTCTAGGGTTTCTCTGTGTAGCTTTCGGAGTCTATCTTGGAACTCTCTTTGTAAACTAGGTTGACCTTGAACTCACAGAGATTCACCTGCCTCTGCCTCCCAAGTGCTGAGATAAAAGGTGTGTGCCACCACCACCCAGCCTCACCTTTTGATTTTATGTTCGTTAGTAGCATAGGCTGTTTGCTTATTTTCATGATAGAGATCCTTTGTGCAGACTGCACATTCAAATGTCAACTACCTTCATTCTCCTGCCCAGGAACCTGCTATTTGGAGGCTGTTGTTGAATAGTTTTTTCCTCTAAAGATCACTGATATATCATCCTAGGAATATCACAAAACCACATTCAGCTTTACAACTCTGTCTTCTACTGTATTATTTAATTGTCAGGCCAAGAAGGAGCTGAGGCAGCGTCTTTGGGTGGAAGGAAGTGTTTGCATTGGATACTTTAAGCTGATAGAGCACTTGGGAGGCAGAGGCAGGTGGATCTCTGTGAGTTCAAGGCCAGCCTGGTCTCCAAGGCGCAAAGCTACACAGAGAAACCCTGTCTTGAAACACCAAAAAAAAAAAAAAAAAAAAAAAAAAGGAAAGAAAAGAAAAAAGAAAATTCTACTTTGTTTGATAAAATTTTCAGAGTGGAGAAAGTATGTTTCCAAACCCCGGCTAAGGAAGCACTAAGGCATAGTCATTTTTTGTTGTTTGTTTACGTAGTTATTTTTGAAGTGCTGAAGATAGAACCCAAGGCTTCAGGGCATGATAAAACAAGCACTCCACCACTGGTCTGTAATGGCCAAGCCCTCACTGTATTTTGTTGTGGCTGTATGCCACATCTCCCTAGGATTTGACTAGATGGTCAGTTTAGTAAAAGGAAACCATGATGGTAACTCAGAAGAAAGGAGGCAGAAAACAGGTCTGCGTAGGAAGCAGAGTAAGAATCAGTTGGTTATATACTCAAGAGAACAGAGGTTGTGCAGGTAGCCGACCATCATTCTCCCAGAAACCATATATATGTGATGAATAAGGCAAAGGTGTATTGGCATGGAGACTAAGATTCGGATTTGAGCTGCTGAGTGATTGGTTGCATCTTCTAGTGAATGTAATTGAGGAAATTATATGGAAAGAAATCAATGCTAATCGTATTTTATTGAATGAGAGCCTTCCAGAAAACATATCAGATATCACATAATGCAATAATGTGTTCCATAAAATATATCTTCTCCTTCTCCGTGATGTTCTCGAGGTGGTTTGGCAATATGTGTCCTCCAGGCAGATGTTAAAACCTGGGCTGAAGTGTCATGATGCTAGAACTGGCACTCAGGAAGAGCTCTTGATGTCATCGGATCTGAGTCCCAATCACTTTCTTCCCTCTTCGCTGCTTGTAGGAAAACAGGCCAGAAAGGTTAAATCATTTCTTCATGTACCTGCTACTACTCTGTAAACATTTCAGCTTCTTCGGACCATGCTTGCAGAGCAGCTTCAATCTTTCTTTTTTTTTTTTTCCCCATCCCGTTGTATTGGAAGTCAGTTTGAGAAGGATCCAAACTAATAAAAGGGGGAAGTGACATAATCCACATTGATGTTTTGGCAGTCACGTTGATCTGGAAGCCGCAGCTCCAGGGAACTCATTTGTCATGTAAGGAGTGAGTCTGGAAATGGCTGTGGTGGAAGAACACCAAGAGAACAGGAATGAGGACTGGGAGCCAGATATTGAGTAATCGTTCTAAAAACCGCCATTCATCTAAAAGCAAACTTTGGGATCCTCAGACGGGAGCCCCAGGCACCGGCATCTCCTAGCTGAAGACTCTCGAGGCTCCTTTCTCTATAAGAATCAGAATTATAAACCAGTGTGTTAGTCCATCTCACATTGCTTTAAACACGTGAGGTAGTCAACTTTAAGAGACCAAAAGACATCATGGCTCACGGTTTCAGAGATTTCAATTCATAGCTACTTGGCTCCGTTGCTTTGGGCCAAGTAATGGAACAGAACGGCATGGCCAGAAGCACTCGGTGGAGCTAAGCTGCTCAGACCACGGTAGCTCTAAAGGGAAAGAAAGACAGGAAGAATCTGGGGGTCCCATTATCCCCTGCATCAGTAATGAGTGCAGTGACCTCACCTCCTGGAGTTTCCAACCCATCCCAGCATCACCATCATCTGGGGACCAGGTCTTCAACACTTGAACCTTTGGGAGACAGTTAAAATCCAAACCCTTACGCCCAGTTCCCGAAGTTATGGAGGGAGAGGCTCCCTCCATAACTACATCATTTAGAAATGAGTCTCTCCAACAAGCATTTGTGTCGGCCAAAAAAACAAGGGCAGAGGACGTGTGCCGTTCCTGAGCAACAACTTTCTTCCTCTAGTTGCATGCTGGGTATTTACAGGAAATGAACATTCCCATCCCCTACCAGGTCTGTTCAAAGTCTTACCAAGGAGTTTAGCCTGGCATCTAACTTCCAAACCCTCCAACAACTGTGGCGTGAGCTTGTGGGATCCTAGGACCTTGATGTCGACAGCGCCTTTCTCTGAACCTTTGGCCTTCCAGCACATGCCTGGTGGCTTTGTGTGCTTGCTTTTCTTCGAAGGGAAAAGGCACAGACGGATTTATGGGGAGTCGTGAGGAGGAGAGGGGGCTTGATGCGCATGGAAGGAAGCGAAACTTTGGCTTCAGAGCACAAACAAAGCTAAGCATGAAAATAGAAAGGGGACCTTGAAGCTTTGCCAGCAGGAAGGCAGTCTCCATGCTCTGTTTGCGACGCTGGGATCCGAAGTACAGTTTTGTTTTCTTTCCTCTGCTGACTCAGTCCGAGACTTGGCAGGTTTCTCAACATCTCCGTTTCTCATTTTTCTTCTTGGGAGTGGCAGTCCTGTCTCCCCTGGAGGCTGAGTTCATGTGGCTTTTGTGTTTGGAGGGCAGTTTCCTTTTCTGGTCTTTGCTTACTTCTGCCTGAAAACATTCCTTGTGCCTATTGTCGGGTTGTCTCCGTGGCCCAGACCACTGTCAGCTAAGACCTAGGCGTCCTCACGGCATCTGTGCCCCTATATGGGGCTGTTTGGGGGCAGAACATTCCGAGTTGGAGGAGCAAAAGATCTGATTTTTGGTCAGTCTGTGACCATCTCCCAGGCCTGTCTGAAGTCCCTGGAGAACAGTGGCTGAGTGAGAGTCATGCAAAAAAGCATTCCTGGGTGAGACTGGTGGATCTCACATGCTCGCTGTCTGTTTAAGGAATGCACTGGGGGTACAGTTTGTCCATTTGCTCTTTCACTTGATCTCTGTGGGGAGACCAGTCTCTGGCCCGTAACTGGGATGATGCAAAGGGATCTGGCGGGCCTGGAGCCATGGGATCTTAACTCTGCTGTCGGGTAGGCATGCAGCTAGAAGCTAATCTCCCTCAGTAGTGGCAGGGCGCGGGAGAGGGTAGAAAGCTCTAGAGAACATATGGCCAGATGACAGCCGCTGCCTTCTGACTTAGGATCGTGGTAAGATGAGCAGACCTGCATACAAAGGCTCTAGCCGAGCCTTGCTGTAGTTCTCTAAATGCCCAGCTCTTCTCAGTCAAATAAATGATCGAGACACAAGGACCTACGAGAGCCTGTGTATTTTAGATCTTCTACTCTCTATGCATTAATTTTGCAGTGGCGATGAACAGTGAAAAAACGCCTGCCCACGGATGATATGTAATCAGCAGTCGCTGAATTTGACTCTGCTGTGCCCAGCCCTATGTGCCAACCTAGTAGTGGATACCAATGATACTGCAGGCACGGTGTGTCAGCTCCGTGCTGGGCCTTTCCAAACCCCCAAACACTCTCCCACTACTCACCATGGAATCCTCTTTGGAAAGTGCCGGGTTAACTGTGGCTCCCTGTGGTGAAGAACTTTTCTCTGTGTCTCACAGCCAGCAGGGTCCAATCAGGTTTATAATGGACCAGCTATTGCCCTGGAGCAGGATGACCACAAATGCCATGGCCTAACACAAGACACAGTTACTCTCTCACAGTCTCTGCGGGGTGCGAATCCAGGTGTGGCTTAGCTGGATTCTTTGCCGCAGAGCCTTGCTAACCAGTCCTCAGGGGTTGGCTCATCTGGGAGACGGCTGTTCAGCCACTGGCCCATGCAGCATTGGGCAGAGTTGAATTCCTTGTAGGTGTTGAATGGAGATCCCCAGTTTCTTGATAGCTTTTACCTAGAAGCCGCCCTTAGCTTAAAATGTGTCATGTGGGCCTCCCAAACGCAGCCAGCAAACAAAAGACAGGTTAAATCGTATAGGATGACATGCTCACGCTCATGTTTATATCTTTACTGTGTTCTGTTGGTTAAAAGCAAGTCACAGTTTCTGCCCACACTCAAGAGGATAGGCGCAAAGGTGGTAAACTTGGGGCATCTACAACATGGCCGTCATCTGTAGCATGAATCTTAAAAGTTCTTATTAATAAAGTCAAACCTGAGGCCAGTTATTGGGGTGAACCCTGGAAGATCAGAGAGCCAGAACAAGCCACAGCCACTTTACCTTGCCAGTTCCTCAGCTGGTCTTGCTTCCTCAGACTGGAGGCCTCTGAGTCCTCATCCAGAATGGGTCCCACCTGAACTGTGCTGCTCAAAGCCTGAATGCTTAACCAGGCTAAATGCTTCTAGTTTCTGGTCCTCACGCCTTATATACCTTTCTGCTTTCTACCACCACTCCCTGGGATTAAAGGCTCACTTTCTGGGATTTAAAGGCATGAGTCACCATGCTTGGCTGTATCCTTGAACACATGGATTTCTGCCTCTGGAATGCTAGGATTAAAGGCGTGTGCTACCACTGCCTATCCTCTATGTTTAATATTGTGCCTGTTCTGTCTCTGACCCCAGATGAATTTATTAGGGTGCACAATATTTCTCGGAACACAATACCACCACAGCCATCTGCTAAAACCCCAGTAGAAGCTGGATCTCTATAAATCCAAGGGAGGCTACTAAAAATAGGAGAGGGCAAGGAGAGATTCAGGAAGACTTCTTGGAAAATTTCACTGTGTCAGGACTTCCTGTGACAAAGGGGATGGACTAGAAGACAGTGTGTGGCATTGTGGACAGAGCTTTATGGAGGAGAGGATCCTTCCAGCACTGCACCGAACCCTGGGAGGCAGCGGCTGTGGCAGCCTAGCCTTGTAGAGCGAGCCTCTCCACTCAGCTCCAAAGCCCACTTCTCTTAGGGGACCAGGCAGAGAATGGAAATTCACTCGGCTTGTCCCACTGGAAGTGTTTGACCTCACAGAGTAGAGGGAGAGGGTGTGTGTAGTTTCATATTTCTAAAGTGCTGGCATGGGTTTTCAAGATACTTCCTGAGCCTCCAAAATAGCTTGAGCAACAAGAATATTTCTGTTTTTCTTTCTTGACAGAAAGCGAAACTACCGACAGCGTGCCTAGTGATGAGGAGAACGCAGAGGTGAGCCAGCTTCCTGTTGCCTCTTGTTTTAAAGCACGGGTTTTACTTTTGGGTCCGTGTGCGTGTGTGTGTGTGTGTGTGTGTGTGTGTGTGTGTGTGTGTGTGTGTGTGTGTG